TTGTACCCTGACCAGGTGATAATTGTAGTTTATAGACAACACTTGTACCATGACCAGCTGAGAATTGTAGTTTATAGACAACACTTGTACCAAGACCAGCTGAGAATTGTAGTTTAAAAGACAACTCTTGTACCAAGACCAGCTGAGAATTGTAGTTTAAAAGACAACTCTTGTACCATGACCAGCTGAGAATTGTAGTTTCTAGACAACACTTGTACCATGACCAGCTGAGAATTGTAGTTTTTAAACATGACCAGCTGATAATTGTAGTTTCTAGACAACACTAGTACCATGACCAGCTGAGAATTGTAGTTTTTAGACAACTCTTGTACCATGACTAGCTGATAATTGTAGTTTCTAGACAACACTTGTACTATGACCAGCTGAGAATTGTAGTTTTTAAACATGACCAGCTGATAATTGTAGTTTCTAGACAACACTTGTACCATGACCAGCTGATAATTGTAGTTTCTAGACAACACTTGTACCATGACCAGCTGATAATTGTAGTTTCTAGACAACTCTTGTACCATGACCAGCTGAGAATTGTAGTTTATAGGCAACACTTGTACCATGACCAGCTGAGAATTGTAGTAGCCTTCGATTAACTTCACAAAAACCAAAAAGTTTGTAGCGTTTGTTTTGGAATGTTCTGCTAAAAGGTTTTTGCATATAATTAATAACCAAACAGCTTAAAAATCACACAAAATAAGAGGTTATGATAGAATCCCACAGGAACGAGGTGGAAACAGACAACAACTAAAATATATTACAACAATCAGAAAATCATTTTGTTTTAATGATAAGCAGTTAGCCAATGTAATGAATTTAAAATAACAAGCAGAAACTAATGACTCATGAGATGAGAGAAACTGTGAATTCTCACACTTCGATGACAAACAGACGCAAGATGCTCGTGCAATAGAGAATGTCTGAGCTATCAGACAGCTTACGTTTCATTATTGCTGTTTATTGTTTAATCGCCAATTATTATGTTACCTTAGAAACGTTATATACACAAAGAAATGAAAACAAAGAACAAAAACGTTATATACCCAAGGCAAAGTGACTCAAAGAAGAGCAACGTTATAGACATAAACAAAGGAAAACAAAGAATAAAAACGTTATATACCAAGACAAAGTGACTCAATGAACAGCAACGTTAAAGACACAAACAAAGAACAAAAAAGTTATACAACCAAGGGAAACGAGAAAAAAAACACAACGTTATATACACAAACAAACCTTTGTTTGTGTATATAACGTTGTTGCTTTTTGTTTTCCTTTGTTTGTGTATATAACGTTGTTGCTTTTTGTTTTCCTTTGTTTGTGTATATAACGTTGTTTGTGTTTTCCTTTGTCTGTGTATATAACGTTGTTGCTTTTTGTTTTCCTTTGTTTGTGTATATAACGTTGTTGCTTTTTGTTTTCCACTTTCACACTACTAGTATGGACTTTCACACTACTAGTATGGACTTTCACACTACTAGTAATTTTCTATGTGATTTAGGAATCATTCGACTGTAAAGGAGCGTCGAACTGGGTTTGTAAATTAAGAAAACGAACGGTCTGATATTTCAACGAAAAATAACCAAACTCCTGATTAAATCAATCAGGAAAAGGGACTCGTATAAAATAAAACTGTGGTAAGTTTTACGAATATATAACCCCCACGCGTTTCATCTTTACGCGTGATCAGAACGAAGTCCCCTGCAATGGTTTTATCATTAATTGCAAACAGAACTGTGCCAACAAGTGTGAAAGAAACAGCGGTACGTGTAAAACTGGTTTCAAAAACTCTTTAAACACGATTTTAGTGTTACTCGACGCCGTCTTCGTTTCCCAGAATCTAACAGCGCCTCTAGACTTGTTCCTATCTCGTCTTTATAAATAAACATTGGTAAGAAAATAAACTATGGTCGTCGCCATCATTGCAAAAACAAAATGATTATGAGCATTATTACATCAAACCATTTAATACCAAAACCCAGATTTCTCACTTCGAAATTCACAAATGACACGATTCTTCTATGCAAGAACACTAAATTTTATTGGTGTTATATCCCATTTTTGTTCTTTGCTTATTTTCCCTTGTGTGTATTTAACGTTGTTTTTGTTTTCCTTTGTTTGTGTATATAACGTTGTTTTTTTTTGTTTCCTTTGTTTGTGTATATAACGTTGTTTTGTTTTCTATGGACTTTCACACTACTATATGGCTTTCACACTACTATCCATACTAGTAGTGTGAAAGTCCAAAAGAACATGCGAGTTGTAGCGTTTACTTTGTCTGTTATATCAGTAAACTCACGTGTGCGTACATACATGATGTATAATGTTGCTGCTAATATTCAATAAGCATCTTACTGTATTGTACTGATTTAAGAAATTTAACTGAATTCGACAGCCTTGTCGTTTTTGTTTATCTCAGACTTTGTAAATATGAACGATTTGATAAGTTGAAATCCTATTACTTAGAAAGTTCTCATCAAGCTATAAAACAATTAATATCCAGAAACAAAATGTGTTATGTAGTTGTGGCAAAGTTACTATGACAATCTGCCACTGTCCGCCTAATTTTAGGACTACTGAGCGGAAGTAAGGCAGTTGTTAGTCAGCAACACCCTACCACTCGTCACCCAAATTAAGGGACTGACTGAAACTATTATAACACACCCACAGCTTAAAGTGCGGCGAATGTTTTATGCTATCACATCGATTCGAACCCAGTTCGCCATCTCTATCACAGGACCGCGTCCCCACCTAGATACAACTCGCCATCACTATCACAGAGTCGCGTCCCTATCTAGATAGTTTTCCCTCTGCAGACTTATAAGTTTAGATTTCAAGTTCAGACTTGTGCTTTGGTTGTTTTAATTGCTTGGAATACTTCAGAAACATAAGAACAACCAATAAGAATTTAGGTAACATGTATTTTGACATTCCGTGTTTATTACTATTGTGATATCCCACTACTACTGCAATAAGCCAGGGTTCTAGGACTCGGGCAGATAGATTAGCTTTCGTCGAAGCAAGTATGGAAAAAATATTTGAATTTACAAGTTGAATAAAACTTGGCACACAAATAGAAAAAAAAGAATAACAACGTGAGAAATACGAAATTAAGCTTTCTTTAGATGATTTGTTATTCAATTTGAAGAAGGCAATGTATTAAGTTAACAACTTAATAACTTAACACTACCACATTCATAAGGTGATCATAAGTTTACGAAACTAATGCTAGCAATTCTTCTATATAAATCTCACTCCAACGTAAATTCTTATTAAAACAAACGTTAGATCATTAAACGTAAAACAAAGCAGCGACTAGAATATGAAGGAGGATTCCTCAATTAGAAGCAAGTTTGTTTTTATTTCCATGTGAAAAGAGGGTAAAGTATAAGATAATATAGTAATATTATAAGATGACATAGTATAGCTTCATATCTGTGTTCGAACACGTTTGTGTAACGTTATAGCTTCATATCTGTGTTCGAACACGTTTGTGTAGTATTATAGCTTCATATCTGTGTTCGAACACGTTTGTGTAATGTTATAGCTTCATATCTGTGTTCGAACACGTTTGTGTACTGTTATAGCTTCATATCTGTGTTCGAACACGTTTGTGTAGTAT